CTCTCTCTCTCTCTCTCTCTCTCTCTCTCTCTCTCTCTCTCTCTCGCCTACCGCGTTCGCGCGTAATCGTTATAACCATCCTACCGATTGGTAGCTCCCCATTAACAATATCGAGAGAAAATTGGAACGGTGATCGACGGACCGTTACGGAAGCGTGCGTGCGCGCGCGGCTCAGTCACGTCTAAGAAATATTTGAGATGTATCGCGAAGTCGAAGTCAGGAAGGATAATTGCGATAACCGCACCGGCTACGCGGTGGTCGCAATAAATTTGCAACGGCCGAAGAATGATTACTCTCGTTATTCTCGGCCACCAAAGTTCTCTCGTCTCGTTTCGCAAGCGCCTCTGCGAACTGCGATTCTCATCATTACTCCTCACTGAGGAAAAAGCGTTCGGTATTTGTAACTACAGTCGCACAGTGGAAGAGTTACAATCAAGAAGGCTATTTTTTAGTGTATTACCCTTATAGAAATATCATACTAAGAATCATTGATAATTACTTATTTTCAGTATTAAAAATACTGGATAATAAGTAATTATCAATGATTCTTAGTATGATATTTCTATAAGGGTACTATAATATCAGTTAGGGTTGAACAAATTAATATCTTTTTTAACTAAGTTAAATTCAAAAGTTGAAGATTATGAAATTAACTTAGTTAAATTAAAAGTTCATTATATTAAGCAATATATTTTTTCTATATGTTCTTTGTATAATTAATTTTTTAATCATAGATTAAGATTAAAATATTATGAAGAAAATAATGGAAAGGTAATTGTTCATTAAAAGATATCGACTATTTCATATTCAGCATTCTATACAATAAAAAAACATTGGCGCAGAGAGACAAAAAAATTCTGCTGGTATTATTTTTTATTTTTCTTATTCTATATTGTAAGCAGTTCCCAAAAATTCTAATATTGATGAGTTATTTTAAAAAGAAGTTAATAAGTTAAAGTTAATATATTTAAAAAACCAACTAGTTTAAATTAAAAGTTGATTCATTTAAAGTCAACCAAGTTAAGTTAAAAGTTATAAACTTTTTAATTTAACTTTAA